AACAGCGAATGCAGCAGTACTGTGTAAACTTGAAAAACTGAGCATATTAAATGGCCATATTACCTCGTTATTATGGCTTTTCTTGAAAACTGCTAGCTTTCAATAGCGACTGTCAATCATCCGGATTTACTCGACAAAGCACCATCCATCCGGGTTTAAGCAGGTGATGACTTGACGGTATTTTAGCAAAGAGCAGTGCTTTGGCGCAAAATAGCATAGGTTTGTTCATTTAGACGAAAAAGTGTTGGAACACCAACCAATACATCTCATTCCATAGGTATATACAAAAAATATATCCGGACAAGCGACAGGAGAATGTTATATTTACGTGCGGTATTAAAAACCAGTAGTGTCAGCAAACCCATAATAACGGGATTCATTTTTTAGATATGCCTCCGACCTGAGGTACACTGGTTGGCTTTCGAACATGTTTTTATTCAACCCATAAACTGCAGATGCTAAAATACGATTGAATTGTGGCATGCCTAAACGGTCGCCTAGGCTGCTAGAAACAAGAAAACGGTGCGCCATGCTGTGTAATTACAGAGGATTGGCATATTAAATTACTACACTTAGTACATTCCTCAAAAGCATAATAAAAACATGTAAAAGCCTATTCGTCAGAAAGCTTCCCCCAGCCCTTATAGTTATGGAAGTCAATGTAACAGCAGAGCTAGCCAAGCAACACAGAGGAACGAAATAAGTGATTATACATGGAGATAGTTTCAAACTTATAGATACTTTACCATAATCCATTTCAATTTTTCCTAAAAGTAGACAAAACGTACATGTATATGCCGGGCTTTAGCTTCACGCTCAGCAACGCATAGACTGGCCTGTGGTCAGAAATTCGTACTTTTTGAACGCTATTGTAAGCGATACACTGCGGGCTCTCTTCAGCATTGGTTTTGTAAAGAATTCGATCCTGAAAATCAGCTTCGACGAGTAAGGGCTCAGCAGGCCACATTAAAAATACCGTAAAAGCAGGATACCGCTGCTTTCGGATGTCGTATATGTCGAGCCCAAGTTGGTATTTGTAGGTAGGTGGAAATTTGATAGCGCCTTCTTTGAAACCCGGGAAAATAAATTCTAGAAACTGAACAAATCAAAAAGCAAAATATTCGAAACACCGAGTAAATCCT